TGTGTGCATTTTTAATTCTAAATGTAATTTAACATTCAACCAACAGTGCATTATGTACAGTCTATTTCCTTTTATATAAATCAGATATTTATTGTTCTCTTTGTTCTTTTTCTTCTTTTCCTTCCCCTGTCTCTGTCTAGGGTCATTTTCTTTTGCAAGAAGAATTATGGTGGATCTGCTGGGGAAAGTTCTCTCAGCACTTTTCATTTTGTCTGACGATATTTACCTCCTGTAGTTTTAAAGTATATTTTCATTAAGTATAGAATTTTACACTGTCAATTATTTCTTTCAGCATTTTAAAACTTTTTTCTATTATTTTCTTACTTCCATCAGTTAATTGTCAATTTTGTCATTGTTCTTTTGAAAGATTTTTCTTAGTATTTTAAATATATATGTATATATATACATATATATATTCATAACTATTTAATAGTAATATCCTTAGGTTGTGGTTTTATCTATATTATCCTACCTGGAATTCATAGGCATTCTGTGGGTTGATGTTTTTGTCATTTTTTGATAAAAATCAGTAGTTATCTTTTCAATGATTTCTTCTGCCATGTTTGGTCTTCTCTTTCATAATTATCCTATTTATAGATTAGGCATTTCTTTTTTTTTTTTTTTTTTTTTTTGACAGGCAGAGTGGACAGTGAGAGAGAGAGACAGAGAGAAAGGTCTTCCTTTGCCATTGGTTCACCCTCCAATGGCCACTGCGGCTGGCGCGCTGTGGCCGGCACACTGCGCTGATCCGATGGCAGGAGCCAGGTACTTCTCCTGGTCTCCCATGGGGTGCAGGGCCCAAGTACTTGGGCCATCCTCCACTGCACTCCCTGGCCACAGCAGAGAGCTGGCCTGGAAGAGGGGCAACCGAGACAGAATCCGGCGCCCCGACCGGGACTAGAACCCGGTGTGCCGGCGCCGCAAGGTGGAGGATTAGCCTAGTGAGCCACGGCGCCGGCCTAGATTAGGCATTTCTAGTAGTCTCCTATATCTCAACATTTCTTCATTAGGTCTCCACCCTGTTGGCCTATCCTGTAGACTTTAGATTGCCAGCCTATACTATATAGTTTCTTTTTTCTTTAAAGATTTATTATTTATTTTATTTGAAAGTCAAAGTTACAGAGAGGCAGTGAGGCAGAGAGAGAGAGAGAGAGAGAGAGAGAGAATATCTTTCATTTGCTGGTTCATTCCCCAAATGAACCAGCTAGTGCTGGGCCAGGCTGGGGCCAGGAGCCAGGAGCTTCTTTTGGGTCTCCCTCAAGGGTGCTGGGGCCCAAGCTGTTGAGTCATCCTCTGCTGCTTTCCCAGCTGCATTAGCAAGGAGCTGGATCAGAATTGGAGTGACAAGGACTTGAACCCTCACTCATCCAGGATGCCAGAAGTTTAACCTTCTACACCTCAGGGCCAACTCCTAACCAAAATTCTTGATTCCATGTTCCAACCGAGTTGATATATGAAAGTAATCACCACAGAGAATAAATACTAGTTTAGGATGCAATAGATGCAATATGATTAAACATCTGCAATTTTATTATTGGCAGTATCACAGATACTGCTAACATTAGAGTAATTTGGGTTTACATTTATAATTGAAAATTTATAATTTTAGTATGACAATGAAAAATACTATTCTTGCTCAGGTTCACAAACTCCATAACTTCTGTCTATGGATCTCACATTAAGAAACCTTGCCATTTTTTTAATTCCACTCTTTTTGTTCTAGTTTTTCTTGTTGAAATCATTGACATGCTACAAGCCGTGAAGTTCTTTAAAAAAAAATCTTCATCCATATATAAGTTAACTAATTTAACCCCAACAACACAATCCCAAGGGGTAAATTCTGTTATTATTCCTGGTTTGCATATTAGGAAACTGAGATATAAAAGAATAACTGATGAGTCTAACATACTTAGGATGCAAACTGAGATTGGCCCTGGAGCTTGAATTCTTCTGTGGAAAAGCTTAAAGCATGAGTATATTGTAGGTAGCTCAATTTGGATCAAGTAGAGGTTTTACACTGAACTCCTTTACACCCCAAAAGAACTTTGATGGTTAGAAAAAAAAAGTAAAAAAGCAAAAATAATTAAACAAGAATTATAAATTAGTGCCTGTTTATACAGAGAAAAATTTTGTTTCTGGTTAGCCGCTTCCTAAGAAATGGATCTCAGGCTTTATCACTAGTTAAATAGTAATAACATCTCATAATTTTTTTTCTTATTTTATATTTTTCTTATTTTATTTCTTCAAGTCTGTACAGGGTATTTTCCCATATTTGCAACTTTGCCATTGTCTGTGCAATAATTATTATTTTATATTACTCCAATATCCACCATAAATCTGGATTGATCTGCAGTTTTAACAGTTTTGTAGTCATAGTGAACTGTTAACTGATTTGCATTTAGTATGATCATTTGAATTAAGGCTACAACAAAGGACGGTGTCTGAAGTCAGAAACTGACAATGGCAATCTCTCATCCCCAGTGCCGCTCTGCTACGGAGCAGACCCACTTGGTCCAGCATTTGCTGAACAAAAATAGATAATTTGAAAATCATTTTAGTTCTTTTTGTGAATTTCTTAAACAACATGAGATTCACATATAGTATACAATAGCCCTTCTCATATACTTTTCCCTGTCTGATTTCTCTATTATATAATCCTCTCAATGTATTTCTTACCTTCTTAACTCCCTTCTCTGAATTTCTTTATATTTGTATGAGGAAGAGAACCTGGATAAAAACTGAGCAAGCAAAGCCAGCTCTTTCTTTAAGAATAGAGATGGTATAGAGATGTTGAAATTTCTTACATTTAATTATTTGTATTAAATTACATTTCTAATGTGTTAATAAATAACAAAACAAATGTTAATTGTGTAGCTCCTAATAAAAGCATTGTTAAGGAATAGCGGCATTATTTAAAAAGTGTGTCTAAATTTTATTAAAACATTTATCTGCAAGTGAGAGTTACAGAGGAGAGGAGAGATACAGAGAGAGAGATCTTTCTTTCATCTGTTGGTTCACTCCCCTAATGGTCGCAACACCCGGACCAGCGCCAGGCTAAAGTAAGGAGCCAAGAGCTTCTTCTGGATCTCCACGTGGGTGCAAGGCCCAAGAACTTGGGACATCTTCTGCTGCTTTCACAGATGCATTAGTAGGGAACTGGATCAGAAATGGTGCAGCTGAGACTCGAAGCAGTGCCCATATGGGATGCAGACATGGCAGATGGCAGCTTAATCTGCTGGGCCACAGCAACTGCCCCCTAAAATTTTAATTGTACATGTTATTTGACCCCAAAATTTTCATTTTAGAAGAATTTTTATGTAACTCTACCCAGGTGATAATTAATATATACACAAATTTAGTCATTATCATATAAGTGAAATTGCAAATTTTGGAACAAATTAATGACTAGCCAGAAAGTGATGGTTAAATGTTTTGAAATACCTTTTAAATGAAATAATAATGAAATATATTCAATGATTTGTAAATGAATAGTGAAACTCTTAATGTATGACTTGATGATCTCTAAAATAAATTAAATGAAAGAAGAATCAAAACGTGTGCCTTGAATACTACTGTTTGTACAAAGTATTAGGCGCATATATGTGTGCATTTTTTTCTGCATAAAGAACATTTAGTGGAATGCAAGAAACTGATGATACTGGTAGTACCAGACGAGTGCATGAGTATAGAGAGAATGTGAGTTGTCATTGAATATCCACCTCCCCTTTTTATTGATTTAAAGCATGTGAATTTATTGCCCATCAAAAAGTCAAATCAAAGATATTTTAATATGTCGCTAGGTTTACACTCTTTTTAGTCTTGATTGTCTTTAGGAACTATGAAACATACTTCACCTGTAATTTGTGCTGGGGTCCATTTTTCTCCTCAGAATTCATTTTATTAACCAAAGAGAAGACCAAGACAACTGATGGATGATTGGTACGCTATTACATATCTATAGCCTGTGACTCCCAAACAGGTTAATTTATTTTAACCATCAAACTATCACATTGGCCTTCCTCTTATAGATTGGCTAAGTTCATCACTTCACTGGGCCCCCCTTCTGATACCCCTTAGAATCCTTACATGTTCTACATATGTGTCTCAGGGTCACATGTCATCTCCATCAGCCATTTTTGTCCTGAAGTTTACATATATCTGAGTACTTCGGAGTACATGTCATCATTTCACTACTGCTTTCTCACAACTCCTCTGTGATCTTTATAAAAGTGTACTCTAGGGGCCCACGCTATGATGTAGTAAGTTAAGCCTCTGCGATGTTTGACGGAGGGAACAAGAGCTGATCTGAGGCTTTAAGAAGCAAATTAAATTTTCAATGTATGGGCCTGCACTGTGGCATAGCAGATTAAGCCAGTGTCTGTGGTGCCAGCATCCCATATGGGCACTGGTTCGAGTCTTGGCTGCTCCACTTCTGATCCAGCTCTCTACTTATGATTTGGTAAGCAGTGGAATATGCCCAAGTCCTTGGGCCCCTGCATCTACATGGCAGATCTAGAAGACACTCCTGGCTCCTGGATTCAGATCAACTCAGCTCTGACTGTTGTGGTCATTTGGGGAGTGAACTGCAGATGGAGGACCTCTCTCTGTGTCAGTAATTCTGCCTCTCAAATAAATAAATGAATCTTAAAAAAAAAAGAAAGAAAGTTCAGTGTAAAAAGTAGAAAAAAGAGTACCTGCAGTTAATCACAGTCCGAAAGTATTAAATAAAAAAATCCAGAAAATAAACTGCTCATATATTTTAAATTGTGTTCCATTCTAAATAGTATGATGACAATGCTGTCCTGCTATGTCCCACCTGGGACGTGAATCAACTTTGTCCAGGGTACCCATGATGTATATGCTTCCACCTCGTTATTCACTTGGTAGCTGTCAAGGTGATTAGGTCACCTGCTGAGATAAACATAGTGTAAAATAGAACACATAGTGCCTGTGTTCTAGTAGTCTTTATTTTACTTCATAATGACACTAAGACCCAAGAAAAGCAATTCTGGCAATATGGATACACCAAAGATAAGCCATAAAGGCTTCTTTTAAGTAAGAAGGTGAACATTCTTCATGAAGGAAAGGAAGAGAAATCCTATGCTGAGTTTGCTAAGGGTGACAGTAAGAACAAATCTTCTATTCTAAGAAATTCTTTAGAGGAAAATGAAATCTGTATTAGGTTTGCTATCACATCTCAAACTTCAGAAGTTATAATAATAGTGCATAGTAAGTGCTTAGTTATGATGGAAAAGACATTATCTTTGTGTGTGTGTGTGTGTGTGTGTATATATATATGTAGGAAAAAAAACACAATATAGGGTGACTTTGATACTAACCAATATTTCAGATCCTGGGGTCTTGGAACATATTCCCTGTGAACAAGGAAAAGCTCATGTATTTTAAGATAAGATAATGGAATTAATGTGTTTGATGAATGGTTAAGAGAAGTTTGAGTTTTTGTGGATGCCTCTTTGGGGAAAGGAAAAATAAAATTATGAAAAACAAATTGGAAGAGGCCTTTGGGGACCTGCATAAGCAGGAAGCCCTGAAGCTGAAACTTGATTTGCTTCTAAGTATACTTACCTGTGCCTGTTGTGTAGGGGCCTGTCCAAATGAGAATCAGGACATCCTGGTGGGAATGGGGAAAAGTGACACTGGAGAGAACAAAGGAGACACTAAAGACTTTAAGATCCCAGAATGCTAAAACTAAGCTTGACTTCTATAATCACTGACAAGCAGTTGCATGCTTTCCACAGTGGCATGAAATATGGAAACAGGTGTCATTAAAAGATTCATTTAGGGGCCTGCGCTGTGGCACAGCGGGTTAAAGCCCTGGCCTGAAGCGCCAACATCCCATATGGGAGCAGGTTCTAGTCCTGGTTGCTCCTCTTCTGACCAGCTCTCTGCTATGTCCTGGGAAAGCAGTGGATGATGGCCCAAGTCCTTGGGCCCCTGCACCCACATGGGAGACCCTGAAGAAGCTCCTGGCTCTTGGCTTCTGATTGGCGTAGCTCTGGCCATTGCGGCCATCTAGGGAGTAAACCAGCAGATGGAAGACCTCCCTCTCTGTCTCTGCCTCTCTTTGTGACTCTGTCTTTCAAATAAATAAAATAAATCTTAAAAAAAGATTCATTTAAAAAGTGAGCTTACAAAAGAATAGAGGGAGAGGTTGGGGACCCATTGGAAGGATATCTGTGTAATTCATGAGTATTAACACATTTTAGCATCCTTCATGCAATGTACCATATTAGGAGTTGTGTCCCTTATGAATATTTTACTTTTTTCAATGGTGCTAAAATTGACAAAATAGAGCATTGTTACTAAATTACATACAAAGAGGAATATTATTCCTGTTAAAATCATTGATTAAGGGGCTGGCGCTGTGCAGTAATAGGCTTAGCCTCTGACTGCAGCCTAGACAACCCATATGGGCACTGGCTCGTGTCCCAGTTACTCCTCTTCCGATCCAGCTCTCTTCTGTGGCCTGGGAAAGCACTAGAAGATGGCCCAAGTGCTTGGGCCACTGCACCCGCATGGGAGATCTGGAAGAAGCTACTGGCTCCTGTCTTTGGATTGGCCCACCTCAGGTCATTGCAGCTATATGGGCAGTAAACCAGAGGATGGAAAAACCTCTCTCTCTCTTTGTCTCTCTTTCTCTCTGTATCTCTTTGTTTCTCTCTCTCTCTCTTTCCTCTCTCTCTCTGTAACTCTACCTTTCAAATAAATATTCTTTCAAAAAATCATTTGTTTAATGAATATTTGGAAACAATCAATGCATTTGGAAATTTTATAGTTCATAGTCTAATAATTATTAGATAAATGACATACAAGTGTTTTTGAACCAAATAGTTAAGCAGTGAAAACTCGTTCTTCTGTTTGGAATTTGATTAGTACACGTGTGCTGAGAGATTCTGTACTCAAGTCTCCTCACCTTTCCCGCTGGGCTCAGAGCTGCCCTGGACTCTGCCAGAACCTGCTGCTCACATCGAGAGAGCCCTTGTTGTTTTGCCTCTTCCTTGGCAAATAAAGCTGAAATTCAACTTTCTGGTATAGTAGGAAAAGTGTATGTTTTCTTTTTTTCTTGTAATTTTGATTTATTTATTTAATTTATTTGAAGGGCTGAGAGACACTGAAGGACAGAGAGAGACAGACAGAGAAACAGAACCCTACCATCTGCTGGTTTATCCCCCAAATGCCTGTGACAGCTAGGGCTGAGCCAGGACAAAACCAAGTGACAGGAAACCAATCTGTGTCTCCCACGTGGGTGGCAGGAACTGCACTACTTGAATCGTCACTACAGCTTCCCGCTGTCTGCTTTGGCAGGAAGCAGCAGCCTGGAGCAGAATCGGGACTCAAAGCCAGGCAATACAGTATGGGATACTAGTGTTCAAGCAGTGTCTTAACTAGTATGCCCAACGCTAGCCCACTCAAATAGTAGGTTTACTGACATAATTCCAACATATCTTCTTGAACTACATAAAATCAAATGTAAAAATTATATGGATAAAGGAGTACTCTGAAGACTAAAAAAGTCTTGTGGGAGAAGGGGGTCGGTGTGGTGGAAGAGCCAGTTAAACTGCCACCCACAAAACAGGCATCCCATATGGGTCCCAGTTCAAAACCCAACTGCTCTACTTCTGCTTTCCTGGGAAAGCAGCAGAAGATGGCCCAAGTGCTTGGGCCCCTGCACCCAAGTGGGAGACCCAGAAGAAGCTCCAAGCTCCTGGCTTTGGCCTGGCCCTCTGTCTCTCTATGTAACTCTGCCTTTCAAATAAATAAAAAATAAGTCTCAAAAAATAGTTTTATAGGGGCCAGCATTGTGATACAGCATGTTACGCTGCCTTCTGTGACTCCAGCATCCTATATTAGCAGCTCAAGTCCTGGTTGTTCCACACAGGATGTACCTCCCTGTTCATACTCCATGGGACGACACTGGAAGATACCTTAAGAGCTTGGAACCCGCCACACACCTGAGAGAGCTGGATGGAGTTCCAGGCTCCATCTTCAGCCTGGGCTTTCGTGGCCTAGCCCTAGCCATTGTGACCATTTGAGAAATGAACCAGCAGATGGCAGATAAAAGATCTCACTCTTTCTCTTCCTCTTTCTTACTCTCTCTGTAGCTCTGCTTGTCAAGTCCGTATCAAGGCATCCCAAAAAAAATAACCGTGTCATAGAGCGCCCTTGACACTCTGTTTATGCTGTATTAGATAAGAATATTG